ATGGATCGGCTCGGAATCGGAAAGAAGTGAGACTGACCGGCCGGTCACCGATCCTGGCCGATCATGAGGAAAATCGGCCGATTCCGATGCCTGGCCGATCGATCGGTGCATCTCTATTTTTAATCCATCCCTCCTGCTCTTTCACTTGCTCCTTTTCTTTGTCCATTCTGGTATGGAATTTTTCCAAGGTGAAGACGCCCCATAAAAGGCACATCTGAACTCCTGGAGTCATTCTCTGTTGCACAATTAATAGCTCATCTAGTCATTTCTAGTATTACATCCATCTTTTTTGGACGGTATGATTTAGTTCTTTCGAATTTTGCATTCGAATTTTAGGTGTGCGTTAAGGAGGCAGCCTTATCAGTGGAGCACGAGATGCGATGACGATGTAATTGTCATTGCATTATAATGTTTTTGTTAGCCTGTCCAGTTGAAGCCACTACATGCGGCGCTGCTGCGTTGTTCATTTAAAATATAGTGGCAAAAGAGAATATCAATGAGGAGAAGATCTTGTTTACATCAAAACCGAAACCAAACCGTTCACACAGAACGCATATTTCACACATTTTCTAGACGGACATCTACTACTGTGGCACTCGCGTCTCGCACAAAAGAGCCGCATATTTATAAAGCCATGTAAAATTAATGCAAGTTTAACTTTGAAAAAAACATATAACGAAACTTTATGGCCAGTTTTTCCTCATCCCACTGCATCTCATGTTTTTAAATTAAAAATGTACTCTGTGTGATTGGCTTTCCGCCCTTTGTATTATATGCATACATACATGATGCTGTTTTGTGTATAGTTGTTTAAGCAACTTATTTATAATTGGTTTATAAACATTATTTTAAACATTATGCACTTTTTTTCGCAGATAGTCATGTTATCTTATACTTTGAATGATGCGCCCTCTTGCGGCCTCAGGAGAGAAGCCAAAAGCTTTTCTTCACCCTAACTGAAATTATGCATTTTAAATTCGAATATAATTTGAATTTTGATAATATTTAAGTACAAAATTCGAATTTAGTTTATCAGCCATTTTGACAGCCCCACCCCTTACCATAGCCGCCTCCGAGCTTCAGTGTAAATATTGCGTCAAAATAAAATCAATTTGAGCACGATTTAAACACGGATGATTGTAACCACTTTAAGTTCGTCTGTCTTGGGAAAGCTAGCGTGTCTCCGACATAGTGATAACACTCGTTGCCTTCTCTAGTGCAGCTCAACCAGGTCAGATCGGAAGTGATTTCTGTTAAATAAAATATCTACTTTTAAAGTGGACTTTGAGCTTT